AATGCCCCGGTAAGAGCGGGCCTTACCCAAACTGAACTGGTCCTGCAAAGTCTATACAAGACTTGTGCAACAAAGCAATACAGTGCTGGGTAACACCTTTGAAGTCATCACCCTTGAAGAAAAGAACAGGGATCTTCTGCCATCTTCCCTTAACACAGTACACTACTGCAGACCAGAAGGCCCCCTTGCTCTTGTATGCTTTGAATAAGAGGGGCCTGCTGCTTAACTGTTTGTTGTTTTTTATTTTACTTTTTTAAATTTTTAGTTTTATGTTTCTTACCTAGACAATCAAAGTCTGTATTATAGCCACAACTCTACTGATTGGCCTGTGAAGAAAACATTTCATTTGTAATGTGTTCCTTTTATGTTTGGGTTAGGCCTTTCAGAAGAACTGCTAGAGGTGTTTGGACTTTTGCTGTACACTGAACATCCTAGTTCTTATGTTAGAAACTAATTCTGTAAATATCTTTCGTCTCACAGTGTTTTGTCCAGCATACCAACATGCAAAGTCATGTGCCGGAATATAATAGCTGGTTATCTTATGGGTTGATTTTACCTTTTGACTAGGGAGTTTAATGACCTGCGTGGCAAGGATTGCCACTGCCAAAATATCAGTGCCTCAAACAAAAGTAAAAAGTAAAATGATTAGAACCATGTCAATGATTATTGTTTAGGTATTTATATTATGTTAAGAGTATCTACTATGATTTGGGGGGAAAAGTCATTCTGTAGGAGACTACATTGTTTTAACTTTTTCTTTAACAAAGAAAAAAATAGCTCTCCATGGTAATGAGACAAGTGTCTCTGTCCCGCTCTGTCTTTGGATACATAATAGGCTGGGATGGACAGTGAGACCATGGGAGCTTGTGTTCATGATGGAGCTAGAAACATACACCTTCTGTTGTTTTTTGGCGTGTACCAAATACTACATACTAACAACCAGGTAAAAATTCAGTCTGAAATGTTTATCATCTAAAAGGTTATACGTCTTATGTTTTTAAAATGTCTAATCAAATCTTTACAGGATTTGAGAGGGAGGCTAGGGGAATAAGACTAGAGACATGGAGAGGAAGGAGTCATTTAGAGGCCATGTTACTTGTACTCCATGCTTTCAGTGTTTCTTCTTTCTTGGTCTCTCTCTATTTTTATATTGTACTGTGATGACAATATCTTTGTTTGAAGAGCTCAGCTATCCATGCTGTTCAGTCCCAACTTAAAATCATACAACTGTGATTGTTGAACTTTGAAAAAAGTCAAAATCATAACAGTGTAATTTAGTTACTGAGAACACTTTGAAGTAAAAAAAATTCCCACTATTTTCCTGTTATGCAAACATCCTAAAGTTTAAAAAAAATTAAGAGAAGGAAAAATTGAATGCAAGTAGAATGCCTGATCTTGGGGTAAGGGGGTGAGGGGAGGACAGTAAAGGAGGTTAGAAAGTCCTGGTGGGCCTTTAACAAAAGAAAACAATAAGATTGCTTTAAAAAACACATTAAGTAAATCTCATCAGAAGTTTGTAAATATGTGTTTTCTCTAATCTCCTTTAAGCTTTTTAGGGTTTTTTAAGTTGCACATGAATACAGCATATCATTGTAAAGTAAATATTTCGCATCCATGTCCTTTAAAAACCTCCTGAAACCCGTATACAGCTGTAGCAGTTAAATGATCAGTGTTAATTCCTGCAGTACAGTAGTTCTCTGTAAATCATACAGTACATATCTTGACTTCAGAGCCTTGGTGAAAGAAACTTGTGGGATTTGTTTACCTGGCAACATGAATGTCAGATTACCACAGTTGACTAGTGTGTGCATGTTTGCAGGCTTCAGTCTGCCTGCTTTTTTGTCTTGCAGAAACACTGTGTACAAGCATGTTAAAGTAGCCATAGTAGTCTCACAGCATCTCTTAATTCATTTTTTCCGTTTGATTGAAGGGGTACTCTGACCCAGCAGTGGCTATGGAAATAGTACCTTTCTTAAGAGTTGCAAATTTATAAGGTAAGGCAGTAACAAGAAAATCTATGTATTCTATCACTATCTTATTCTATATGACATATCCCTATTATTTAGTTGTATCTGCAAGTTGGCAGCTGCCTTAAAACTAGTCTGTGTTCTGAGGCCATACATATCAGTTGTCTTTGGCTTACTCAGGGATTTTTATTCCTTCCTTTAACTGTCTAATAACTTTAGGGATATTTTTATATTATTTAGAAAACCTTCAGACCTCTAAGATTATAGATTTGGTTTTTGCAATGCAACTTTAAAATAGTGTCAAAACAACTATTCCATTTAAGTATACTTCAGTACTTGAGTTTTCCTGTTATTGATTACATGGTTGAATAGTTGCATTATTCTTCCTGGGTTTTTTTATAAATATTTTACAATTTTGTTACTGTCTGTAAACTGTTTTGTAGCTTTTTCATTGTGGAAGGTTTAAAATACCTCAACTCTCATCTGAAAAATATGATGTTAAGATATTAGGAAAATTAAATGAAAAGCACGTTTCCTTATTAGTGCCATCAGCGTGAGTAAGGTAATAGATTCCTTTACCTTTCGTTTTTAAACAGAAAGCTGTTTCAGAGAACAACAAGCATGTCATTAAGGGGAAAAGAAGTACAAAATACGCATCTCTGAATTCCTCCAGTATCATATAATCTAGGGCATTTAATCTGATGGAGGTAGACAAATTCAAATCAAAATGGAGCTTCATTTTGTCTGTGCACATAACAAAAACAGGCAGCATTTTTCCTAATGCATTTTTTGAAGTGAGGGATTATACTCCAAATACCTTTTGTATGTATATGTTGTAATTTGCCTCCTGGCTCTCTGGTTTGAGGGGGGGAAAACTAAATCCTGGATTGCTTTGGCTTTTTATAGTTCTGTTTTTTCCCCTTAAATAGAGATGCCTTTATTTGTACACTATAGTTAAGATTTTTATATTTAGTAATTATTCCATAAATGGCAAAATATTTGTATTTGAGTATTCAACAGAAATTTGTTTTTGTTGTTCTTTAGACCTCTAAACAGTCCTTTTGACTAGATAGTAAAAAACAATGCTCCCTATATCATTTCTGATATGTAATATACTGAAATTTGTGGCATGGAAGAATTTATTTGGCCACCCTTATAAGTAAACTAAAATGATTCTCATTCCCCCTTGCAAAGGGAACACATTTAGTAAACAGTTCTGCCCTGCTGCTATCAGCAGAACTCTTGCATTAAACACTTGAGGTACAAGTAGCAGTCTACCCAAGTTAAGGAGGAGGTTGGCTGATTTTGTAGAGAGATTGTGGGGTCTGGTGCCATATTCATGGGCTGATCTCAGTGGCTCGCCCCAACCTCTGATTGGCCGAGGGGCCCAATGGCCTTGTCTCTTGCCAGTGATTGGCTGTGAGGGCTGTCTGTCATGCAGCCCCACCCCTCACCACTGACGGGGCCACATAACAGGCAGCTTTCTTAGCCAATCAGGGGCAGGGGCAGCAGCCCTCTTGGGCTGCCCTTCAGGTGGGCGGTGGCAGCACCTCTTCCCCTCCCCCACAGGCTTTGCAGCCATGCCACAGTGCCGCGAAGACTGCTAGCTCCCTCTGGGAAGCCAGTATTTTATTTTCAGTAAGTTTTCTTTTTTTCTTTTTTTGCGGATTTTGTGGGCAATGATAGATTTCTCAATGTCCAGGAAATCACAATTTCAGCAGGTCCCTGGTTATAAGTTCTTTGGATGCTTTGGGACAGATTTTCTTGTATGCGAAAAAAACAGATCCATAGGCTCTGAGAATTAGATGCATCAAAATTATTCGTTCTTTAAGGAATTCCTTCTCACCCAGATCAATCTTCTGATTAATTCTAGAGTATATTCTGTAATAGCTGTATAACACAAGTATTCAGCTTTGTAATTCATATTGTCTCTGCTTACCTTTTCATAGCCTGGTTCTGTCTTGCCCCTATTTTCTTAAAATCCCACAATGGAATAATATAAGAGCAAACCAGTGGAGATATGATTGCCTAACCATTCCTAAGGAAATTTCCAAGCAAAAACCATTAACTTAAACTATCTTTCTGCAGCCACATCTCTGCAGTTGTGGATGGTTTAAAGGATGGTCAGCTGCCACTGTATAAGCCTTATCTAGATGACTTGAACTACAGACCGTGGACAGAGGTCCATATCAATGGCTCTGCCTCCTCTTGATCTGGTGTATGTGGAATATTGTTCTGTGGGGAATAACTACAGTCCTCAAAAAACCTCATCCTTAGTTCTTTCTGCTGATTTCTTTAGTAGAAGAGGAGATGTGATCCTATGTACTGTTTTGTCAAGTTCATAGCTGCCCTGGGCTAAATAAAATCTGAGGCTAAAGGCTATATAGTGGTTGTTATATAACAGAGATCCTATTAACTCAGTATTGTTTATTAACATATGTATCCCCTCAACTTTGCATTTTGAATGGCTACTATAAATATTTGCTCTGAATGGCTAGCACGGGGGGTCAGCAACCTATGGCTCACAGGCTGGAGCTGACCTGTGAAGCTATTCAATCCAGCCTGTGGATATAGGACTTTGACAGTGGGGAGCTTTGGTAGCAGTCACTTTCCTGTGCCTTTGCAGGGAGAAGTGCTGGCTGTGGGCATTCTCCCCATTCTGCCACAGGGAAAAGCAGTGGTGGCTAGGTCCCACCTGTCTGCTTGCCCACGCCTAACTGGGTCAATCTGGCCCACAGTCTTAAAAGTTTGCCAACTGCTTGGCTAGTGCCCTTGGCATTTCTCATCCACATGTCCATACCCACTTAGCTACTTGATTTATGTGCCAATCTAATCCTAGTTTCTCTAATAGTTTTATTTCTCATGCTGTTGTTCTCTCTTAGTTGCCTTCCTTCCACTAAGAGTAATTAAATTCTGCATAAATAAAACCAAGTGAGGTTACAGAGTGGTGAGGGCACCAGAAGGTGAGACAATCCTGTTTGTGGTGGGGATGTTAGGTAACTTTGAGTGCAGTAGGCTTGTAGAGTGGATATGTTTACTTAATAATCATGCGGCGCTTATGCAAGGATGCTTACATACGCTTTGTGTGATAAATCCCTACTCCTTGAGCAAGTAAGAGTGAAGTGAATCATTTGAGAGGCAGGACTGTGGTTGTGAGAGAGCTTGTGCTGCAGTTGGCTCAGTACTTTCCATTTCAGCAGAATATATTTACAGTATGTTTTCACTTGTATATTAGTGTCTCTAATATAAAATGCAAGATTGTAGATCAGTTGCATCCCAAAATCTCTGTGCTAATTCAGAGGGTTGAGAATCTAGATTTGGTTGGGGGTTTTTTTTGATACTTTGGTTGTGCTCACTGAACAGCTATTGATGAGATGGGGTCTTCTATTTGCATTGGTTTACTTCAGTTCTGAAAATTCGAACATCACATAGTTTTACTTTTTCTGTATTATGTGAAGAGTTTACTGACAGTTAAACTAGAATACGTTTGCATATCTACTATAACTTCCATTTAGTCAGTTGACTGCCTCTTTTGAAATCCATAGTGACTAGTATGACTTTAAATGGAAAGTACAGGAGGATATAATCCCTTTTTTCATGAAGGACAGACTGTAGTGATGAAATGATTCTAGAGGATTTCATGGTTTCTCTTGCCAATTCTATTTGGGAAATCAGTTCAAAATCAGCAGCCAAATATGTTACAGACTTTGAGCTTTTTTACTGTTCTTGTGGCATTCCTTTCTGGAGCAGACATTACATTTTTATAATCATTGGCATGGTTATAGCTGTGTAGCTCCAAGTTGTGGATGTGACCCATGGGCTATTATTACCTTATAATCTATATTAGATCACTACAAATTTTGCTAATGGGGCACCCAGATGATAGGAGAAAATGTCTTGATTTCTTCCTTATTTGCAGTGGGTCAAACTCAGTGCTGGTGTTCGAACCAGCTCCATTGAAAACAGTGAAGCTGCATCCATTTTTACACCATTGGTGAATTTGGCCTGTAATGTGTTGACCAAATTACCTGAATGTATGTTTAAAGATGATAATGCAGAAATTGAAAAAATAAGATTCGCTTCTGAAGATCAGAATTTTTTCTTGTAAAAAGACCTCCCATTATTTTTAGGCTGTCAGAAATCTTGTGCAGCTGCTTCTGAGTAATTCTAGCACTGATTATTTTTGTTTTTGTACATTTTTTCCCTGTAGCACTATTTAATTAAGGGCAGTTGTCTTGGTTACAAATAGTTTTTTCATTAAATTTCCCTGTAAGGAAATACCAACTTGTACTTATTTTCTCCTTGAAATACTGATAATATTAGAAACCACCTCTTCAACAGTGTTAATTTAAGCCCTGCCTTTTTCAGTATAACCCTCATGTGCATGTTTTAGAAACTTCAACCAGCACAATTCCAGCTTTAAAAGAAAGACCCTTACACTGGGACAAACTTGAATGTGTGCACACTTAATCACAAAAGCAGTGTGTGTTGCTAATGTTTTTGGTATTTTATCTGCTTAGATAAGGAGGCACAGAACATGGCTTTCCCATCTGTCTAAATCTACTATGAAGTCAGTCCTGTGATTCAAACAGTTAGATGTGGAAATTACTGGAGTCGTGATTTAGCTTTGACTCAGTGAAGCAGAAGTAATTGGCTTGTTTAGGAGGTTAAGAAAATTTAGAGAATGAGCTGAGAGTTTAAAGTATGACTATATGTGAAAACCTCCATCCCATCATGCTACCTTACTGGAAAAAATACTCTTGCAACATAGTTTGATTTTTTTTTTTTCTTTAATAGACCCTATAGTAAAAATGCACCTTTTTACTTCCTGTTCACAGGACTGTCATTCTTTTGTCCATGTAACTTTAAGAACAAGGACTTATACATCTATATATTTTGCCTTCCTATAAAAAGTGGAAATTTTAGCATTGAAAGGCATTTAATCTCCAGTGCTGTTTGTAGCCTAACATTAAAACATTTGCCAACATACATGCTTAGAGAGTTGGAGCTTGATCATAGAATGCATGATGTGTTTGAGGTGTATGAGTATATAAGTAACTGTTAGTTGTTCCTTTGGAAAAAAAACGAATTGTAGTATTAAACATATCTCCCATTATTTCCCCTATATAATGCAGTAAGGGTCCTGTCCCTGATTGTAATCAGGAGAGAATACTGCATATTGTGCAGCAGAAAACCTGTTGAAACCATACTTAATTCACATGAAACATTGAACAGTAAATCCAAAAGCTATTGGATGGGATCAAAGTCAGCATGAGAGAGGTTTATATGTAAATTATTAGCAAAATGTAAATAGTCACATTAGGAATGGCTGAAGTAGAAAATGTAAAACCCTATTAGAGATCACTGCATGCCAACCTTCACCAGCCATCATGTGGCATAAAGCCTGGAAACAGCAAGTAGAACATTCCTGGAAAACAGGGCGGGGGGAAGTGTAGTAAAAAACCATTAGTCGCAAGTTGCTAAAATATGAACACCTCTCCTTGTAGATTGTTCGCAGTCAAAAAATGCAGTCACATCTAGTGCAAGCCCACTGTATGCAATGGATTGTTTTGTGCCATGTCCCCATCTTTTTATATAGAAATGTATTAAGAATGTTTTGTGTTACCCCTTTCATGTTAATCTCTACATTCTGCTGCTTCATATCCAAGGACAACAAAGACGAGGAGAATATACATTTCACTCTGTGTATGCCATCTCATAATAAAATGTGTTTACCATATTGCCTGTTGTTATACATTTTATTTCATCATATTCTCCATTTTCTGACTTTTATGGGAAATTTAAAAACAAATTGACATTATCTATTTTTGTCAATGATTGTCAAGTCTTATTTTTATCTCATCTTAAGCTGTTTGGAGCCAAAATTCTTACCAGCTATTAAATCATTACAATAAAAGCTTTTATATATAGTAAAGATAATAGATATCAAGAGAATAAAAATATCATTTCTATTTCTGGCATCTTCAGGAATCTAGAATTTGAAATCATGGCAAATCATTCCTCTCATACTGAGCATGAATAATTCTCCAAACATACGATCAATTTGGAGGTATATGAAAAGAGGTAATTACGTCGTCTTAATCTGCACCTTTTATGGGGTCAGTAGTGAACTAAAGTAAGCGGTTTCCAGTGTTAAATTTTTAACCAATTTAAAGCTGTACACAAGGTAGCAAATAGAACTGCTATATTTCATTTCATTGAGTGACTGAAGTGGGGAGAGGTCAATAACTGGAGAAAGTATACACACATTCAGCACTTGCTTTGCAGCTTTGATTCAATGCGTTGCCTGTCAAGGAAATGTTTTTGTTTAAACACTAGTATGAATCAGTTGAGTTACCTTCTCTGCTATGGTAATTTTTGACCAGTAGACTTCTGCATATGTATTTAAGCTAAAAGTGATCCTGTCTTGTTCTAAAGCTGGGCTGGATCAGTGAATGCAGTACATTTTAAAAGAAAGAAGGGTAACCTATTCTGTTAAGTCTTTTTAGTTTTTTAAAATCCTGTCTTTCTGTATATTTTAGCTTCATTCTGTTCCCTTCCTTTTATCGAAATGCATACAATTATGTGCTGTCAGTGTTCAGTTAGGGCTTGAGACCAAAAAAAAAACCAAATCATTGTGGTGCCTAAATAGTAGGCACATTTTTAGGTGTCTACTTACAGACGTGGAACCCAAACGTCAAGTGCGGAGGTATGTAAGAACATGTACAGTACATGGGGAGTTAGGTGTTTCTGATAGACAAGTGAGAAAAGCCACATGCTGAGCAGGGAGTTGCTTAGAGCTGTCCAATCCAGTAAATTCCTAAATACCCAGTTTTTCTCCAGTGCTTAGATGCCTAAATCAAGATGGCAAGCACCTGTGTTTAGTCAAGATCCAGAGCCCAGAATCCTTTCCAGAGGATAGGCACTTGTAATTAGTCTTGAAAGAGTGTACTACTTTTTTCTTAAAACAGGAGGTAGGGGGAAGGAGTTGGTGATGCCCATCTTTTATTTAGTAACCTTGGGGCTAGAACGTGTGTCAAAAAATGGGGGATCTAGATCCAAGCCCTCAAAGACTTTCAAACTCACAGCTCCCACCTGAAGTGGGAGATGCAGGTTTGAATTCCCTTGGGCTGTGGGGACAGTTAACCTAGATCTTCCACTTACTTGATAAGTGCTCTAGCCATTGGGTATTATAGTTAAAGATAGGTAGCATTATTATGGCTGCTACTGCCACATTTGACAGCTCCACTTTAGAAGTAAGATGGTTTTGATGGCGGGGTTGGGGGCTATCTTACGGATTTGTTTTAGTCAAACTCGGCGCATATCCGCTTAATTGGAGCCCTTGGGGGATTCGTGTATACTGCTCTACCTAGTATTTGGATCCCATTGGAGCTCAGGTGGGAGGTAGGTACCTGGCTGCTCAGATTGGGGCAGTTCTGGGATATGTAGACACTTCAGGGAACTTTCAAAATGTTTAGTGCAGTAATTCTCAACCTTTTTGGACTTAAGGCACCCTTCCAATAACTTGTGGGCTGAGTGGCACCCGACTTTAAAAACACATGTATATATTTCCTTCTTATCTCCTTACACAGGGTCTGGGCAGTAGGGGTGGTGGATAATCTATGCAGGAACAAGCCTGAACCTGGCTTTATCAGCTTAGTTTATCTGCTTATCTCTCCGCACCTCGCAGCACCCTTCAGCAGATCGGGCAGGATACCGCAGCACCTTGGTTGGGAATCACTGGTCTATTATGGGTCATGTAATTCCAGCATTAGGCAGTGCTGAGCAAGAGTTCTTTGGATCATAATTTTAGATTTACCTGCCTAAAACAGAACTTAAACAGAATTTGGCTACCTAAGTCCTGTTTTGAATCCAGCCTTTGGTCCTCCAATAATATTAACTCTGAGTTTTGACACAGCTTTTCAGGCAACATGTTGAATAAAACAGTAAATTACAATTCTAAATTAGAGAAATTGTAGAATACAAATGAATTGCATGTCCAAAGAGTTCTCACTTCTTTTGGTCAGAAACTTGTGTGTGTTGGCTTTGGAAAAAAAATACCTTTCTAAATTCCCATAGGTTGATGAAGTACCATCGACTCTGGAGAGAGGTAATTTAATAGATTCAGAAAGAGAGGTGTTTTCCCTGAGGGAGCAATTATCAGCGGCTATGCTATAACTGTCACCGCAGCATGCTCCTGTAGCCATACAAATAAGCTAAAGAACTGTAAATTTAACCCTAAAATAAAATGAGGTTAACATTAACAGGTTTGCAACACTTGGATCCCTACAGGAGTATGCAGATTTAATAGTGACATTGGACAGTTACTGATCAGCTGCACATTTTCATAAGCCTTCAGGAAATGGTGATTTGGTGTTCTACTGTATAGTACTCATGAGTAGATTTTTTTTAGTCAGTTTGGGATTGGTTTGGACTGCACTAATTAACTAGCTTTTTGTTGTCCCAGTAAACAGAATTGCATCCTACTTTTTAAGGATTCTCTGCTTTTCTTCCTTCATAGTAATACTGAGTGAATTCTTAGCCTCCATAGGCTTTAATGTGGGGTAGGATTTTAGATTATTCTAGATTAGGGAAGCACTTATGTTTTATACATTAATTCCTTTTTGGCTTTCTTGAAATCTGGCATCAGACGATAAAGGACTGGATTCCCCTTCTACGATTTTGTAACTGCTGTGAGCTGCTCAAGATATTAAAAAATCAACCCCATAAACATGAATTGCCAGATGAAAACTTGCTGCAATCAAGCAACTGATTTTTTTTTAATTAAAATTAATGTTTCATAAAGTCAGATTATCATCAGTGATAATGAATAGGCTTCCCTTTTATATATTGTGTTTTCTACAACCTAATTTTCCCCAAAATAAGTGGTATTTATTATTTTCAGAATTTTTTGTGCTACTGATATTTTTCAGCATCTATCCGGGACTGCTGCCCTTGCATTAAATTACAGAAGCAAGATGTTTGAAGACGGTACTATCACCTGTAGTGTATCTTAACCAGAACTAAATCAAGCTTTTTACTTGCAGCATATTCTGAGTCTGAAATTACTAGGAACAGGGAATTTGGCTTCAAGTCTTACTTCAATGGAACTTAAATGAAAGACAAGCAACGCTTTTTTGATACCCTGGTACACAAATAGCTTTATTTCTGTTATCCTCTATTCATCAGAATTAAGTACTCTGCAACCCACTGAAAAAAAGGTGTCATATATTTAAGATTTGAACTCCACAGAAATGCAGAGTATTTATGTAACCAATTACTCCCTCAAATCATCTCCCTCAAATCATTCTACACTTAGAATGCTGATGAGTTGTCCATTATCTTGTTTGTCTGAAAAAAAATGTTGTTACAGATTTTAGCAATAATGTTTGCCTGATATTAAAACCATAAGAGTTAAATGCACATCTTCCTGCTACAGTAACTCTCAATAGTTTATTTTTAGGCAATATTTTAGTAGTAGTTTACCTTCCAAACTGGTAAGTTAGAACTGTAGCAGTAGCAATTACTGAATGTTACCTCCACAGTTTTTTCAAATTTGCATCAAAATGGGTGTGTCTATGCATCACCGTGCTTTAGTGCTTCCTTTTGGAAGTACTAAAGTACGGTGCACCTTGTGCACAGCACAGGGTTAGATTTTGCCGCTACGTCACCGTAGCACCGTGCTATACCAGGGGAGCGCACTGCTATGGCAATGAAGCTGATGGCCACGTGTAGACGCACATGATCACTATGTCACGGTGGCAATGTAGTACGTCACTATGGCAATGTAACGTGTAGATGCACCCAGTTTTTTGTAAAGATTGGGGTGGGGGGGGCTACCCTTTTTCAGAGTGCCTTTGGTTTTAGGTGGCCTATAAACAACTATTGTCCTCCACAAGTTCACTGTCAGTCTGCCAGATTGCTGTCTGATTTGAATTTGCCTTGACACGTGTAACTAATATTCCTGTTGTTTAAAAATGTGTAGGCATTGGTTGTATATGCATATGTACAAAAACATGGGAAAGGAAATGTTTTCTGCCAACATGTATCCTGCTGGACAGGATCTTTTGAATTAAGTGGGGGGTTTTTAAAGTTTATTTTCCCAGTCTGAACTAATATTCCATGATGGTTATGTACACTTTGCTAAATCCAATTATGTTCACTGTAGGCAGTTCCAGTAAGACAACTGTTGGATATCCTGGGGTAAATTTGATAAATCAGAAACTTAGTGTTTAATTTCTTCTGACTGATGAAACTCAAAAAGAATGCAGCATCCCAACCCCCTTTAATGAGCAAAATTGAAAGTAAATTTCCTTGTGCTGTAAAATAAAATGTGAATGCACTCTCTGTCTCAGAATCGATATTGGGAAACTGTTTTGTGTGTTCGGTGGATCATGTGAAAGCACATCCAGGGGAGGTTGTCACATGCATGCTGAGGACTAAACTATGCCATTGGTAACGTCTACCCAATAGTTTTTTTGAAGGAAAAAGGCTGCTGTGTTTAATGCTTCTAACTTATTTTCACCAAGTAAATATACAAACTACTGTTAGCTACTGTAATTTAGTCTTAAGAGTTTTGACTGACCATAGTCATATTAGGCAGGGCTATTATATTATCTCTTTGAAGCATACATAAAATTTCTTACACAACTGGAGAAAGTCATCTGTCTTTGTAATTTAAAAACAAGTTGTTGTATTGAATTTTTACTTCCCTACATTTACTTTTATCTGCCATGTCAG